TGACTCAAAGTGCAATGAATGAGCGTTAGTATCGGGATCATTTCAGTGTTAGAGTTATGTTAGTTTTGATCCGTAACCAGCCCTGCCGGCCCCTTCAACATTAGTTGCAGGCAGTGGTTGTTAGATCATGCGGCACTGTAACTACTACTATTTTAGAGGTATGATTTGTCAAGTTTATACAATTCAATGTTTCAATTGAGGCAAACTATCTATCTTACAATTACAAAAGCAAACCTAAACTTACAATTATATGCAAATGCAACATGAAACTTGACAAATCATCGTCAATCCCGAGGGGGGTGACACATCTACATCTCAATGCTAGATACTCAACAAATCTCACATTAGCGAATCAATATTCGAAAAATCTTCTTTAATTTCTCGAATATACTTGCCGCGCACATAATATTTTTGAAGAAAATCTTCAGAACCGTCATCAATCTTCTTTCTATCTACTCAGCGTGCGCGCAGCTAACCACATCAAAACACAAATTTTCATGCATCGTAGATAGAGTCGCCCCCTCGGTCAATCCCCTTATTCCAGGGCAGGGCCTGACGATTTGAATCTAATTTTGATCAGTGAACGGGCACCATATGGTACATTTTCTCACCATGAACCTATCATTTCCAGCCTATCTGAACTATTTAATAAATGGAAGCCATAACATGGGTTACGCTCCCCCTAAGCGGGCCCTCCGCATCCTATCTCTGTCTTATCTCAAATACAAAATGCCAATGGTATGAATGTATCTATATATAACTTGGAAATGACGTACAATCAAATAAACCCGTAACCCACTTACTGCGCCAGGCTTCAGAATCGTCCAGTGGGCAGTGCGCTCTACACTCCAAGTTCCCTTTTTTTCAAATTTACCGCAAATTTGATTTTTTACCCATTAAGTGTTGATTAATCACAATGAAACATTGTGACAGAGGTTGAGGTTACTAGTGTATTAAATAATCTACGTCCTATTTAGGATTATATCTGAAAAATCCAAAGCTGGCCTACGCCCACCCTAAACCTAAACCTGTTCTAATCCACCTGAAATGACTAACGAATGGAAGACTTTGACTACCCAGCCATGCAATAGTCTCATTCCGTGCCTTATGGCAACTTGATGATTCTATTGCGCTCATCTTCTGGCACCACCCAGGGGAGACTTGGTCCTGTGCCCAATGCTTAACTTATCTCCATTCCACTCAGCTACTCGCAATTTCTTGTGATATAGTGGGCGGAATATTATTATATGAGACAATTCAATGCAGACGTCTTTCCAAATTTGGCAGATCGACAGATAATCGGTGAGTTACCACGATAGTTGCTATTCAACAACTCGACAACGTCCCATCGTCAACGCCTGCTATGAGAATTTCCCATTGCAGACGCCAACGAAATGACGTCATCGAGCTATCGATCAACCACCCTGGTTATCGCCTGGTACCTTATAGCACGATGCTAGCAGGCGAACCGGAAGAATCGATGAGCTACCTCTCCCTCAGCGTTTCATTCGAAACTATAACGGACTTGTTGAAGAAAGCGAGGAAGAAATTTGAGTGGACTGAAGACGCGTTCACCGATCTAAAATCAGTTCTGACTTCTGCACCGATTCTAGCGAACCCAGACTTTGCGAAACCATTTACGATCAAAAGCGATGCGTCGGATACAGCGGTAGGAGCAGTTTTGGTCCAGGAGTTAGAAGGGGAAACCAGAGTAGTGGCTTATTTTAGCAAGAAGCTGAGGAGAAACCAAAGAGCGTACTCGAGTGTTGAAAAGGAGTGTCTAGGGGTATTACTAGTAATCGAAAACTTTCGCCATTACGTAGAGGGTTCCCGATTTAAAGTAGTTACGGACGCACGGAGCCTCTTGTGGTTGTTCACAATAGGAGTTGAGTCAGGCAACTCAAAACTCCTTCGTTGGGCGTTAAAAATTCAATCGTATGACATTCAACTGAAATATAGGAAGGGGGCGAGCAACATTACAGCAGATTGCCTCTCTCGATCGATTAATCTCCTCATTTTGTCATCCCAAGACGACGGGTACGATGAGCTAGTCGAGAACATTCAAGCCAATCCAAGAAAATTCACAGATTATCGAGTTACGGACGGAGTCATCTACCATTATGTGAAGAGCATGAACCGCATAGAAGACAACCAGTTCAGGTGGAAGCAGTTACCACGTCTGGCTGAGCGATCCGAAATCATAAAAAAACGAACACGAAGTGGCTCATTTCGGATTCGATAAAACGTTGCAGGGCTTAAAACGTCGCTATCATTGGCCAGGAATGGCTAAGGATGTGAGGAAGCATTGTCAAGGTTGTCTCAAATGTCAGACTTGCAAAGCTGGAAACACCAACGTCACGCCACCGATGGGAGCTCAGAAGGAGTTCGTCGAATATCCATGGCAATTCGTCACACTGGATTACGTCGGTCCTCTGCCTGCGACGGGGAAAGAAAGACACACTTGTCTGCTCGTGGCGACAGATGTCTTTAGCAAATTTGTCCTGATCCAACCTTTTCGCGAAGCAAAAGCCAGTTCATTGATCGAATTAGTAAAGAACATGATCTTTCTGCTTTTCGGTGTACCGAAAGTGATACTGACAGACAACGGAACACAGTTCACGTCGAAGGTTTTCCGTAATCTGCTGGCTGAGTACGGAGTCAATCACTGGTTAACCCCATCATACCATCCGCAGGTGAACAATACAGAAAGGGTTAAGCGGGTAGTCGCAACGGCGATACGAGCAACAATAAAGCAGCACAAAGACTGGTCAGACAAGCTCCAATCGATCGCGTGTTCGATTCAAGGTGCGTTGCACGAATCCACCAAGTGCTCTCCGTATTTTGTTGTGTTTGGTCGCGAGATGGTGTCGGATGGGCAGGAATACCAGCGAATGAGAGAAGGAACCTCAGCGAGTCAGGTGCAGAACAACGAACAAAGTGGTCAATTATTTGTGCAAGCAGCTGTGCCGTATCGTAAGAATGGTGGTGGAGTTCATCAATCCTCGAAGGAAAGGATGAACCAGCTGTCCTGTTCCAAAGCGACAACGCAGCGTGAAAGCGGCACAAGTTGTGGAGAAATTTTTGAAGATTGCCCCAGAGGCGGTGGATATGTTTTCCGCTAGTTCGGACCCTAGAAATAGCATGGGAGGGAAGGTGAGCAAGCACCGATGCGGCTAACATCGGTGGGGATGTGATCAGTGCTTGTTGTTTGTTATGATGATGATGAAGGTGGTGGCAGCTGCGTTCATTATGACCGAAGATCCGATGAATAAATGAACTGAAAGTATGTCCATCCCATCTGCTGGACAGATCTTGAAAGAGCTGGAATTTGGGCGTAACGGCTTTTGTAAACAATTAATTTTCTCGATGATTTCTAGGAATTCAAGGCACAAGGAAGACTTCCCCTACCTGAAGGTTATGTTGATTTGCGTGGACGAGCTTTGACATTTTTGAAATCATCGATAGAAGTCTTTGTTTACTGTTACGCCCTAATTCCAGCTCTATCTAGAGATGCTTGCTGTCAATTTAGGGTGTGGGTGAAACCTGCAAAGTTCGGTGGTTACAGTCAAGTTTGCCATCGTTTGCAGTTGCCTTCCACTTCCATGCTGTACAATACCTACAATCAACACATTGATAATTATTTTGATGTCTACGTTTTACAGTCCATGAACCATGTTCCTGTTTTCGAGAACAGGTTCACGATTTTAAGCAAAACTCATGAGCTTTAATCTTAATTTCACATGACATATTTGTTTACGTCTGATCCTTTATGTCAAAGATGGATTCCGTCACGTGTAAAATTAGTTATTTCTAATGTGTGTGTGTTCCCTTTGTTGGTACCCGGTGAAACGTAACGCAGGTGTTACGTTTATTTTGCGAACAATGTTCACGATTTCATGATTTTGAATGAATAGGTACATGGTGTACTTTCGTGAACGAAAAATTTACTTGTTCCGAAAATCGTGACTTGAGGTTGACGATTTTCGGTTCGGATTTTTTTTCCCGTGTGATGAAACGTGCTGAAATATGATTGTTTACCTCATTGGCGCACTATTGTATAGCCTCGCAAATATCTAATGCCACTGGCTATAGTTTAATGAAGTATCATACCCATTTCCCACCAACGTACGTTATCCTCTTTTTCAATCAAATGCAAGATAATCATTCTCTCGCTCAACAAAAGGCCACTTGATTACGTCCGGTGCTGTGTTTCGAACGTGTTCGAAGTTTTCCAGTTTTTGACCTAGTCACGCCAGATGAATTTTTCATCGCCAAGCGTATCGCCTCCTTCCCTCCCTCTCAAAACCAGCTGAGGCTCGCTGACTGCTACGGCCGTCGCCGGGGTCAACTGCGTGACTCAAGGATTTTCTCCCGATCGGCTCCAAATTGATTTTAGAAGTTTATTAAAAGCGTTTTCGATTTTTCATCGACCACTCCACCCCGCCCGATCTGTTTTTGAAACTGTGCCAGTTGATTCACGCTCAGTTTCATAGTGACTCACGCTCACGTTTCATTCAGGCAGTGAGTTTTTGTGTTCGTCCTCGCCCTAGTCGTCGGTCTAAATGAAATCATTAATAACGTATTTTTGGGAACGTGCTCCGACTCTGTTGTTGTGGTTGCCGGGTCGTGGATGAAAATAATAAATTCCACAGCGTTTAAGTTTTTGCATGTCAGCCAGCTATCAGGGATTGGAAATTTTACACGTTTTTGTCTGCGGCGTTAATGGAGTTTTCATGGTCGATGAACGTCCTCAAAAATTGTGAAGGAAGGTTCCGTTGTCAGTTTTCAGCAGGTCCTCAGTTACACGAAATCGAAATTGTCGGAATAAAATTTTCATCGTTCCAACTTTTCCTTCCGCAATTTGTTCAATGGCAACAGTTTTTACATTTCCGACATGCGATTGTACTCGTCGGGAGCTGCAGCAGGTGCTGATAAGCATGTTGGTTATATTTATGCGCATCTATCTCTTTCTGTCTTTTTCGGTTGCCTTTTTTTGCCAGGTGGCATGGATAAAATCTGACACGAAAGCAATCCTGGCCATCCACACCCACATGGTGGCTCTGAATCAGCGGCTGTCGGTCACGCACAACGGACACAATACCTGGAAGCTGCACATCTCGCACGTCCAGCTCAACGATTCAGGAAGTTACATGTGCCAAGTCAACACGGATCCGATGCGGCATCAGGTTGGTGGACATTATTTTATTTCCATTATGCTATATGTGCTTTGTGATTACGTGACAACAGTGTAGACGGAACTTCCCGAGAAAATGTAAATCAAAGCACGTAAATGTGGAGGTGGCTGATAATGTGACATGAGATAGGAGAAATCTTGCTTTGTCAGAACAAGCATATCAAGTACATTTAGGAGAATATCAAGCTCAGTGTCTTAATTTTTGGTACGCAGCCCTTAACATTTATTAAGAACTATATTTCAATCTGGGGCTGACAATCAAGGTGAAATAGCGCCAACTTAGGGTCATTTTAAGCTGTATTCCTTTTGTGGCATGATCCAAATGATTTAAATTCGATTGTTAACATTCATCTTTTGACTTAATAGATAGCAGCCAATTTTATCACCACTTTGAATTGTTTTTCTGTATTATTGAGATTTTTAGCCAGTTGGCAAGTTCATCTCATGTGTATTTTCTCCCCCAGTCCGGAAATCTTGAAGTCGTAGTCCCGCCGGATATCCTCAACAGTAACGATCCGAACAGTGCCTCGCTGGAGGAGGGCGTTGCCAACGAGGGCGGTAACATTCAACTGTTATGCCAAGCAGTCGGCGTTCCCCTGCCGAATGTTCAGTGGCGCCGGGAAGGTGGAAAGGATACCGTTGTGCGGACCGAGGGTCGAGAGAAGCAAGGTGAGTTAGTGCAGATATCAACGTCAATTGAGTGTTAATTAATGTCGTTGTGTTGGCTTAAATTTCCGTTTGCAGTTGTGAAATCCGTCGAAGGTGAACGTTTGATACTGAACCAGGTGCAGCGGACCGATATGGGAGGATATCTGTGCATAGCTTCGAATGGAATTCCGCCCACCGTCAGCAAGCGATACGACGTGCAGGTCAATTGTAAGTAAATTACTGGGAATGATTGTTATCCGATAGACGGTGTGGTATGTAATTCAATTTGTGTGGCAAATATTATTCCCTTGTTTGAAATGAACAAACCCATCCCAATGTTGAAAAATTGGAAGCCTGTCAATTAGCAACATCCAGCCAAAGATTGGGATTCCCATTGGAAAAGACCTTGAACAGCTATTGAACAAAAGTTGAGAATTATATAGAAGAAAATTCGGGGAATCGAAGCATTGAAAATCAAAAACTAATTCCCTTCGGTAGCAGAGAAATAAAGTTTTGTGTTGTGCTAGAACCAAATGGATCTTTTAAAGTAAGCGTGCTTACTTAATCAATCATTTGAAATTGATAACTTTTAAGATATAAAAATAAAACCATATCGGCAATTGAATTCATCGTGAATTGTAGTGAATATCAGCTTATTTAACTTGATTCAACGACGTGTAACATTTGTCATTCGTTGTGATGTCACATTTTTGGATTACGTGCCTCTACCGGTGCCTCCTGTCACGTGGCCCTCGAAGGAAAACATAATAAACTCCGGTCAATTTCCATTAATCAAGCTCCCAAATTCCCTTTCTGTCCTGTTCTGCTCTGATGTTTTGATTCACAGTCCCACCCAGTGTGAAGGCGGGCAATCAGTTGGTCGCCGCCCCGGTGGAAAGTCACGTCATGCTTCAGTGCATCGTGGAAGCATTCCCAACGCCCCTCAACGGGTGGTACAAAAATGATGGTAAGTACATGTATAGAACACACCTACACACAAACACACAAACAGAAACCATGCACTCAGTTTCCGAATACATCTGGGCGGGGTATAATGTAATAAAAAATGCTTGCTCCACGTCGGCTTCTCTATGCTTCACACAGACTTTTGCGTTGCTTGTTGGAAAGCTCGGAGACCCAATAATAATGTTACCGCGCTCTGCAGGGTTTGGAGCCGACTGGCAATGCAAGCTTGTTGTTGTTATTGATGACGCTGATGGCGGTGGTGGCGTGTTTTCGATTTTTCCAATTTCACAAGTCATTTGGTACGATTTCACATGTAATTTTGATTTATTTTTCCGTGTGTTTTCGGGTGCTGTAGGTCGGTTTTTCCGGGTGCACTGATTTTCGGTGTATGTTCTGCGATTAATGCCATGTTTTCCGGCTGCTACCCGAGAGATTTAAATGATCAGAGGCGTTTGTAGTCGTTCTCGTAGCTTTAGTTTTACTTTACTTTTACTTTACTCTACTTTACTTTTACTTTACTTTTACTATACTTTACTTACTTTACTTTACTTTTACTTTACTTTTACTTTACTTTTACTTTACTTTTACTTTACTTTTACTTTACTTTTACTTTACTTTTACTTTACTTTTACTTTACTTTTACTTTACTTTTACTTTACTTTTACTTTACTTTTACTTTACTTTTACTTTACTTTTACTTTACTTTTACTTTACTTTTACTTTACTTTTACTTTACTTTTACTTTACTTTTAGTTTACTTTTACTTTACTTTTACTTTACTTTTACTTTACTTTTACTTTACTTTTACTTTACTTTTACTTTACTTTTACTTTACTTTTACTTTACTTTTACTTTACTTTTACTTTACTTTTACTTTACTTTTACTTTACTTTTACTTTACTTTTACTTTACTTTTACTTTACTTTTACTTTACTTTTACTTTACTTTTACTTTACTTTTACTTTACTTTTACTTTACTTTTACTTTACTTTTACTTTACTTTTACTTTACTTTTACTTTACTTTTACTTTACTTTTAGTTTACTTTTACTTTACTTTTACTTTACTTTTACTTTACTTTTACTTTACTTTTACTTTACTTTTACTTTACTTTTACTTTACTTTTACTTTACTTTTACTTTACTTTTACTTTACTCACATCTTTTTTCAGTGTTGTAACTTTTCAACTGCTCTACTGTATGATCGTTAGGCTGACGTCCATATATCTCCCGGAGGTTTAATTTGACTTTTTTTTTCAATTTTCGTCGCAAATTTTTTCCATGCTTCCGTGGAAATTCCAGTTAGGGTAAATGGCTCTTATGTTGGCCTGTGGATCTAAGATTGGGCCCTTCGCTAAAAATATGCTTTTTATCAATTTTATCTAGAACGCGTCATTGGGACGGTACTATTGACCATAGGTGGTCCTGTGTGGGAGAATTGCGAGGAGTTATCTGCTGCGAAGCTGTCTAAAAGGAGCGTAGAATTGTACTTCATTGACTAGTTCTGAACAATCTATGGTATTAGCTAACAAGTCAAATACAAACAGTCGTTGGGTTTTAGTGCGTCTGGATTGTAAGCTTTCTAGATCAATCAATCTACAGCGGCTTGCGTACTCGGGATGATCTGAAGGGTCATTCGGCGTAACGGATGTAGCTTCTCTGCTCTTTCTGAATTCGAGTTATCTGCGTTTTTCCAAGTGCTTCTGGCTTTTTCCTGTAGTTTCTAACGATATCATTTGGGAATTTTATCCAGAGTTGCTCTGAACCTTTCCTCTGACTGACATCAGACGATTTTTACGATTTCTCCTGAGAGCTTCTTCTGAATTCTCTTAGAAGTCTTGCTTACTTGCTCCGAAATTGTGAGCTGACTCCTGAAATTTGTTTCTTTCAATCTACCCCAGAAATTGCTCACAAATTTTTCAGTATGTGCATCTCCCGACAAAGTCAGTCAGCTTTCGCTGGAAGCTTGTGCAAATTATCTCCGGAAGTTTTTTTTGACTTTCCTGGAAGTTCTTTCTAAGTTTTTCAAAAAGTTTCGATTAGCTTCGATTGGATTGGATTGGATTTCTACACAAGCTATACTTCCCAGGAATGTGTTTGGTGTTCGCTGAATCATGCTGAACAACTCTATTCCCAGCAATATCAAGAGGCGTCTTCTGGCTAGATGCTGAGGTATGGAGGTCCAGCCTTGTTTTGTAGCACTGGAAACGAAGCAGAACCAAAGGAAACTTAGCAGTACGTTCCGGCTTATGGCCATGCGAGTCGTGAGTGCGTACAGAACCATCTCATCGGAAGCAGTATGCGCTATCGCCGGAATGATCCCTATCGGCATCACCCGGCGCAGGACAGCGAGTGCTACAGTCGGAGAGAAGCCGGCAGAGTACGGAAAGTGGTGAAAGTGGAGTCTTTGGCAAAGTGGCAATAGGAGTGGAACACGATGGATAACGGTAGATGGAAACATCAGTTATTACCGATTATTTTGACCTACACAGTTCGAAAAAGTAGTGTAAATTTCTGTTCAATATGATGTACATAAATGGAGCGTCACATATCATATACGTTTACATTATATATCATGTAAAGCTCTGACACATGTCATGCAATGTAGCGAATATTGTATACAAAAGCCAATCTTTGTAAACAACATTGTTTGCAAGTTGCTCGGTTGTGTGAAATGAAATACAAGTCTACGTGAATGAATGCTTACATCACAATTAAAATTCAGAATTTTTATCTGTGTATGTGAACAGAAAACACGGAGAAGTCAACCACCACCAGACGCAGTTCCTGTCTGGCCACGGCTGCCTCAGGAAATACCTGCATCGGTTCGGACACGCAGCGTCACCCTTCTGTCCGGAGTGTGGCAACGTGGATGAAACGCCGGAGCATGTGGTCTTCGACTATCCAAGGTGCGAGTCGACCCCATTAGGCATAAATACGTTAGGCATACGGATGTTAGGCATACGGACGTTAGGCATAATGGACGTTAGGCATAAAGCCATTAGGCATAATGGACGTTAGGCATAATATACGTTAGACATAAATACCTTGCTGATGTGCAACTCTAGAAACCTGTTTCGAAAACAATGCTTAAATTAGGCTAAGCGTTGAATAAAAGAAGATACAAGTTATACAAACATAGCTTATTAATAAGCGCAGTTTGGAATCCATTATTTATCATATCATAAGTGACGTACTTAGATCCAAGATTAGTAGCAATAGCGGTTAAGTAATCTGGCAATGAAAACTCAGCATAGTTTTGAACTATATCTTGAAATCAATCGCATCTAGAAATAAAAAAATCACACATTTGTTGTAATATATTCTTACACACATATTGCAATTGTCAAAGAAGAAAGGTTTTCCTCAAAGAACAGCTCATGGAATAAAGAATGGTGAATTCTGTGATTTTTCATTCAATAATAATAAACAGCTAAGGTCGAATAAAAGATAATGCCAAAGAACAGCTCATGAAATGAAGAATGCTGAATGCTGTGGGTTTTCGTTCAATAACAAAAAACATACCTGCTGCTTCCAGGATTTCCTGCCATACTTTTGGATATAACGATTCTGTTTTTATTGTCATCAGAATTAATACTAGTGGAACCGTCTGCTAATGTGAGGGAGCGATACTTCCATGAACAGTGACGATTTTCCGAAACAAACAAGGAACTGTGGCAAACGTACCACCTGCAACCCTGCCTGTTCAAGACGTCGCAAGTTTTCATGAGTTCCAAAAATTAAGGCTCGTTCATTATTGTCACCGATGTCAGCAATCAATGGACGGTCCCCATTATCATCCTTCTGGAATTCATCGGGTAGATTATGCCTAACGTCCATTATGCCTACCGTACATTATGCCTAACGTCCGTATGCCTAATGTCCGTATGCCTAACGTCCGTATGCCTAACGTCCGTAAGCCTAACGTCCGTATGCCTAACGTCCGTATGCCTATGGTACACGACCCCGTGCGAGTCAGTGCGAAGGGAGATGCGTGTCCTTAACGTGGAGAATGTCGTCGATGAAATGTGTCCAGAAGAAGGCACTTGGAATAGAGAGATCTAGCAACGCCAGCTAGCACGGAGTCCATGAGCACAGCCCCCGCGAAGTAGTCGCTTCAGCGTGGTCCCGGGGGGATCCAGACAGACGAGAGAGTAAAGAATGGGTTTTAGTGGAGCTGAACTGGACAACTAGTGGATACCAGTCCGTGTCAACTTCAAAACAGGTCTGGCTTTTTTACCCCCCCCCCCTCCCCTCCATTTCCTCTGCTTTGAAAATTGATACATATTTCATTATCGTCAAAGGTAAATAGATTTAATAATTCTAATCATTTGATGGTTTAGAACAGTTTTTACAAATAATTGTCATATGTAGGACAAGCAATGCTCGAATTGAGCACCAGTGCTATAACCCCCCTCGTTACTAACTACAGTTCCCCCATTGACTATGATCTCTCCATGAAACAGGCAAACAACTTCTCAATTCCCCGTATTTTTACTGAAAAGTACCAACAAGTCAATTGCAATAGAAGATTTTTCACTGATGAATCACGCATTGATGGATTCACTGGCTTCGGTGTCTTCAATGAATACTCAACCACCTTCCGGAAACTTTAGGAACCTTGTTCCGTTTATTTTGCAGGAATCAACTTCGCATTGGGGATGATTTCCGACATGGCCACAGACCATTACTTCATCTCATCTAGTCTCAGTTCGATTGAGGCTATTCGGTCGATGAAACAAGGAAGGCACTCATCTTATTTCCTTTCAAAGGTAAGGGAGCAGATGAGTTTGCTGGTCGAAAGATCATATTTGATTACATTTGGATGGGTCCCCTCACATTGCTTAATCCCAGGCAATGAGATGGCAGACTCTCTCGCAAAGGTGGGCGCTCAACAAGGCGAGATTTATGATAGAAGAATGTCACATGATGATGTTTTTCCCATTAGTTGGCAAAACGATTGGACAAGAAAATTTCGAGGGCGGTGTTTACATTCCATTACT